AGGAAGCTCCACGAGCCACAGGCATCCGGACCAGGACAGCCATTAAGTATTAAGGTTGTTCAGCTGGGTATTTAATGACCCAGAAAGACTCAAGGAAGAGCAGGCCCTTGCCCCAACTCCACACCTTCCTGTGTAGAGGCCCGCACATGAGGCCCGTTCTCTGGGTACCCAGCCACATCCCAGTGAGCCTGCTGCTGCAAGGACCAGTCGCTGGGACTAGGATGTGGTACATCCTAGCACAGTCTTACTGTAAGTCTGGGTTTTGCCTCCATTACCTCAGCTGTGAAATGGGGATATTGATGCATGAGAATATGAAGTGAACGGGTGTATGTGAAGCGCTTGGCTTAGGACCCCAAAAATGGACCCAAAGCCAGCACCTACCACACTTCCCACCCATACGAGCTCCTCAGAGTTGAATTCCCACTTCTGTTTGCCCTAGAGAGTCCTGCGCCTCTGACGTGAAGTCAGTCCGCCCTGGGTGCCCCTTCAGCACAGTGGTACCTCCAGGAATTATCTCACTCTTGGCTGTCTGGGAGCCAGACTTGTGCCGGGTGCCAAGGAAACCTTTAATGACCCTAGTGGAGGATTCTGGGATGCTGCGCCAGTTTTTGAAAATAGTGAGGCTGAGGCACTATGCCTTGGCCCTCTGACTCAGTGCTCTCACTGGCCCTTTGAATCTGGAAAATAACCGGAAGACGGAGTTCCCTCTTTAACAAGGAAGACACTCCGGAGATGGAGCTCCCTCTTAGACAAGGAAGGAAAAAACAGCTGCTAACAACTGCCTCATAAGATTCCCCTGGGTCAGGTAGACTATTGAATCATCAACCCCATCCCGGACTCATGACTGCTCATTCAGCAAACACACTGGACGGCTGTTACTGCTGTCTATATGCCCTGGTTATTATAAAGAGACCAGGAAAGCGAAAGCAAAGGGAGGATTCTTGCTTGAGAGCTCTGATCCCTCCTGGTGGAAGAGGAAGCTGGGTAGGGTGGAGACCAGCAGGAATTGGTGAAGGAAAGCCGAGGTCCCCGGAGGGTAAGGGCACTTGTGCAAAGCCTAGCTCTGCCCACTCCCAGCTCTAGGACATCTGGACAAGTCACAGGACCTCAAAGCCTCAGCTTGCACGTCTGTAAGATGGGGGAGTGACTCACCGTGCAAGGTTTTGAAGAGCAGGTATTGTAGGTGAGGTCCCAACATGCATTAAGTGGGTGGTAAACAACTTTATTTTGCTTAATGGGGGATTTTCAAAAAAAAACAACAACAACTTTTTATTGTCCCCCTGTTCCACACTGGGGAGCTGGTTTTAGCTGAAGACTTCCTATAGAGCTTCCTCAGAGAGCCCCGGTGACCTCTTCCCCTGGCTTGAGGCCAAGCATCCGCTTCTACCACTGCAGCTGGGACATCTGAGGGTACCTTCACCCCACCTCCATGCTGCTTTCAGACATAAGGAACAGAACCTCAAATGGAACAGTTTCACAAAGGCCTTTCTGTTCAGCCAATGGATGCCAATCGCCATTCAATCACTTGGAGACAAAAAGAATTAAACACCTCCAGCCTTCACCTGTTATGAGGGCTCCTCTTTATTCATCCATCTGTTTTGTTTTGTTTTTGTCTTGTTTTTGTTTCTTCAAGACAGGGTTTCTCTGTGTGTAATCTTGGCTGTCCTGTAACTTGCTCTGTAGACCAGGCTCAAAACACCTCTGATCTCTGACCTCTGTTGCCTTGTCCTCAGGTCCAGGACAGATCTTTCCTGACTGATCCAGGTCAGGAGATGATGGTTGCTATCCAAACATTGCCCACAAAGGGGAAGCTAGCTGCTAACAGCCAAGTTGTCTAAGGACCATTGCTGTCCAAAGCAGCTGTGGTTACGGTGCGGACGGCATGACACAGTCAAGCATTCCATAGTTCTTCCATGACACACACATGTAAATGTCATGACTGTTCTGGGGCTGCTCTGTGTTCTGTTCAGTGGCAATGCTGGGAGGAAGGGGCTGGAGGCTAGTTATGGGAAATCCCTTGGGGTTCAGTATCCGTAGTGATGGAGACTTCAACAGACAAGCCAATAAAAAGCACAGACATGTAGCATTTGGTCAACATGGAGTATCCCAGTTCCTCTCCATTAAGAAAGCCATGCTCTGTCTGTGTGTGTGTGTGTGTGTGTGTGTATGTGTGTGTATGTGTATGTGTGTGTGTGTGTGTGTGTGTGTGTGAGAGAGAGAGAGAGAGAGAGAGAGAGAGAGAGAGAGAGAGAGAGGAAGAGTGAGAGAGTGTAAGGGAAGCAGAGCAATGACAGTGGGTGTTTGTGCACCCTGGGGGACCTAAAGGGAGAGACTATCCCCCACCAAAGTACATGACAGCCACACACAGCAGGCAGGCCTGGTATCAGAAAAGGGAAGTGTAGTCTAGACTATATCCCTTTTAACACCCATAGCCACATCTATTGGCTGAGATCAGAGAATTTCACGTAACATTTCAAAATTACCCACCACTCCCATTGCTGCAGACTCAGCTTCACGCGCCCTCTGCCACCCAGTCCAGCTAGGATGTAACTGGACTAATCTAGATGGGGCTCCAGTTCAGAATCTCCCCTGGAAGGAGGGAGTGCTGCCCAGTCTCCTCTGCTCATGAGTTCTGACGTGAGCATCATCTATGACCGTAACATACTTCAAATGCTTCTGGAGATGGGCTCTTGCCTTACCTCAGTCCCAAGGTTTAAAATGTTCTCTACAAAACAAGCAGCAATAAAAACAGTTCTCTGGAGATCAGACAAGTCTTCCCATTTTTCACATTACTGCATTTGTGTGCATAAGTATGGGGTAAACATGTACACATCTGTGCACATGGAGGCCAGATAAATGAATGATAAAGCATTCATTATCTTCCTCTATGGTTCTCCAACTTTTAAAGTTGTCTTATATATGTGTGTGTGTGTTTCACCTGCATGGATATATATGAACTACATGTGCAGTGACTGAAACCAGGACCCAGGTACATGGCCTGGAGCCAGAGGTTAGCACAAAACCTCCACTGGGCTATACCTGGCCTAGCTCTGGAGTGTTCACTTAGCCCCTAATCCATCCTTTGTGTTACAGAAACTTACAACAGCCCTGTGTGACTCTTGACTGAGAATTTACCATGGATACAAAGCCTATGCAAAACTTGGTTTCGAGGAAACTGGGAAAACCGTGGTACCTCATGAACCAGGTGTTCGCACCTGGAATCGTATTGTAGGAAACTTCATTTTGTTTTCAGATATGGAAATCTACTGGCTAAAGTGTAAATATAGGAAAAAAATAGAGGCCAAGAGGCAAAGGGAAAATGCTTCAGTTCACCAAGACTGAGAGGCCCCTGCATCCACAGAGGCTACGTGCCTTCTAAAGGTGTCTCTGAGTCTTCATTTCACCGACCCACGTGACCCCACACACCCACATACCCAAAGGCCATTCAAGACCCAGATAAGGGCAAGGGACATCAGCCTGCAACCTCTCAAAGGCCATTCAAGGCCCAGATGAGGCTGAGGGCTGCCGGCCTTTAACCTCTCTCCCCGTGAGCACTTTTCTCCAGCCCATGTTTCCAGGTTCTTCGAGTTTTGCAAGCTACTCTGTGAAGCCTTGAAAGTACACCTTCACCTCTCTAACTCGGAGGTATGCATTTTCTGTGTACCGCAACAGCTCTGCCACAGGCTGGAGCCTCCCTAGACACCTGAAGCGTTCGCCAGTCCCTGCAGTCTTAGCAGAGACCACAGGAACCATTCCCTCTTTCCAAGCATAGGCCCTAGGGAATAATGATTCACAGACTCTACAGTAACTTGGGTACCATGGCAACAGGGCACCACATCCGGAGCAGATGGTACCACAGACTGCCTGTCACATGGTGCCTCTTCTGGCAGACCTGGTCACCTAACCAAAGAGGCCGGCCTATGTGCACCTGGCATGGAGTGGTTAAAAAAAAAAAAAGTCCAGAGCCAGCAGACAGCAGTGCCATTATGAGATGCCAGGAGAGAGGGGGGGTTGGTCTGGATGGAGTCCAAAGCAGGAGCATGGGGAAGTCAAAACGTCACACCTGCAGTTGCCTGGCCTCTGGGACGGCTGGAATGCGGAAGCCTGGAAGAATACGCAGGAAGAACAAAGTCAAAATGATCCCAGGCTGCTAGGACACACTGGCATAGGACGGTAAGGGACAGTGTCAGTCCTCCAGAGAATGTGGCAGCAGCTTCCCGCTGAAGGCACCTGCTGGCAGATCAGCCACTTTCCACAACTCCCTGGCATCTCAGTCTCTGGTGGCACGGCACTGCCTGGTCAAGCTGATGGCTACATGGAAGCCAAGACAAACTGTCACTGCAAGGCAAGGCCAGCACACTGCAGCTAAAGCTTGGGCCAACCTGATGTGGAGATAGGAGGTCCATGGGGCAGGGTCTGTGTCTTCATCAGTGTTATCCTCCCCTCCCTGTGGTCCAGGATCTGGTACCCAAGAAGCAACAGAAGCATCTGTTGGAACCAATTGAGTGTGTGGCGCACATCCAGCAGTGACCTTTGCCTGTGACTGGGATTAGAGGGGCGGGTGTTTTGGAGACAGGATACTGGTTAATAAAGCACTATGTGAGACATCCTGAGCTCCAGTAACACCAGTGAGATTCTGACGTAGTTGGTCCAGGGTGAAAAACGGGTGTTTCATTTCCTGCTGTGGAATTTTTCCAGTCACAAGACCCTTGGGTGTCTCCCAGGCCCATGGCCAAATTTTGAACAGGAACGATACGCATGCCTTCCCATGTGGGCAGCAGTGCTTCTCTGCTAAGAGAACAGTATTTCAACATAGAGTGTGTGTGGTTGGTTTCTTTCTCTTTGTTCTTCCTCCTTCTCTTCCTCTCAGGATTTCTTCTCTCCAGAGAGACTGTTGAAGAGTAGCAAAGGCCAAAGAGCCAGGAGTCACTCTAGCTCCCAAATGCGCTTCCACATCAGAGCGGGGACGCTTTTTACAGAAGCTACGGGATTCAGACACATGACGATTAGACTATATTTTACACTTCCGTGTTTATGAAGGACCTCAAAGGAAAAAAAAGAACAGAAACACACTGACCCCCAAGACAACCCATGACGCAGAATCTGATACACTGAGAATCCTGGGCAATGCAGTGATTACCGAATGGCTGGGACACACAGCCCAAAGTCAAAAGCAGCAGGGTTGTTCTGAAAATAGAGATTCAGGAAGCCCAGGAACATGTTCTTATCAATGAGCAGGGCACAGACCGCGGGGTCCTGCTTCATGGCGGCTATCCAGAGCCTCAGCATCGGGGTGTGATTCACGCAGCTGCAAGACAGGAAAAGGAGAGGGTGGGCAAGGGGGGCATCTATCACTTTATAGAGTTGGAAGAAACAAAACCAACGGTTTGTTTGGGAACTACGGCAAGCTTAGTTACTATCCAGGAAGCCTGATCTTGGTGAGGAAAAAGGCTCACTTGGAACTGTGCGTCCAACTGTTGACTTGTGCTGGTGGCTTCGGTGAACGTGGAAAAATGCTTGTGAACTGAGGCAGGGGGATCAAGGGTCTTCAATTCACTGCTGACTGACCAACACCCTCCCACACTCACTGTCCTAGACCATTTGCAGATTCTACTTGTAGGGCTTTGGGGGAAAAAAAGAGCAGTTTTCCAAATACTTTTACAATAAATAAAACAATCACGAAACCTTGAAATACAGGTCTTTTCAAAGACGGACAGAGGAAGTCGGGTCTAGGGTTGGCAGATGATAAGCTAAGGGAAGACCGCTGGTGGATGGCAGCCATAATCTGGGGTTTGCCACTCCGCCTTGGAGGGAGCTAATATAACTTACCTGCGTGTTTAACTATCCAGTCACCTCAGGTCTGATGTGAAGAACTACTTTGCAAATGCTGGAAGTGCCCGGCATGCCTAATGCGGCTGACAGAGGTTGGAGTCAGCAGCAGTTCACACATCCGTCCCGTGTCACCGTGGAACTTTGAGGTGACAAAGCTTTAAACAGCCCTGCCACACTTTAAACATGCTTCCAAAAAAAGTGTGACGCTTTCATGATGTGTGGTTGCCCTTTGTTTATATGAAGATCATGCATGCATTGCTTTTGAAACCTTCTATTTGGGGGAGGGGGTGAGAGGGGGCTCAGGTGTGTGGCATGTGTTGTGACTCAGCAAGACCAGCAGTGCGGCCACGGAGGGAGCTACAGGCTGTTTCACCTATCTGTGAATACACAGGGGACAGTGGGCTCTGAAGCACCAGGAAGGCTTCTGCACACAGAGTCTTATCCGCAGAGATGTAGGTAACATGCAAGCCAGGACTGAGGGGGAGGAAAAACACAGGTGCATTTTGAACAAGGAAGCATGCATGAGTGGCGTCCAGTCCTGATTTCTGTTTCACAAACATTCTGAGACAGTCTACAGGGGAGTTAGTAGTGCCCAGAGCATCTCAACAAGTGGCACTCAGTGAATTTGCAATCGTATAGTAAAATGTCTTACTCAGATAGTCCATATACATCCAGCCGCTCAAACCAGGGCCAGAAGAGGTAATCAATCATGGATATACGGTCTCCACCAAAGAACGTAGTGTTCTGATATTCGAGAATCTAGAAATATACACAGAACAATAGCCAGTTAATTTATACATTCGCTGACATGATTACAGATGCCAAATAAAAATGTCAGATTAATTACAAGGAAGAAAAACTCTCTTGCCAGTGTTCTACTTTCAAGAGATGGCTTCCTCCCTCTGCCAGGGTTGCCATAGCTCTTTTAGGGCCACTGTCTTGGCCACACCCTGTTCCCTGCCTCCCTTCAACACTGAATAAACAACATGGCTCATCAGGCTGGAGAATATGGAAAGAGCAACCCAGGCAGAGGTAGCCCAGCCCTTCCCTCAGCCTGGGACAGGCTTCTCCAAGTCCTAGGCTGTTTCCAGATCATCTCAGCTTGGAGCTGGGAAGCTGGACCTTAGGCCAGCATTGCCCATTCCCCAGGGACATGAAAAGTCTGAGCCAGCTGCTAAAAACCAGCATAGAAACCCACCTTGCTGGTTGGTGTTGTGACCTCATCTCCCACGTATTCCTGGTACTAAAGGGGATGCTGCGGTCTGCACTGGTCTCTCTTTTGCCTTCTCCATGGGTTCAGAGCTAAGACAGATCAGTGCTGTTCAGTGGGTTTCCCTGCCTCCCAGCATGGTCTTCACCATACTTTCTTCTTTTATTCAAATTCTTCAAACTTCATGCTACTCAACATCCACATTCTACAATGAAATAAATACCTTTCTCAAATGGGACAACAACCTACATAGGTGGACTGTAAGGAGAGCACATCTTTGACAGACCATAGCCATTCAGCCACAAGAAAGAGCCTGCAGTTTTCCCAATCACTGAACCACGGTTTCCCAGAGAGAACAAGCTCCCAGTGAAGTCAACTGCTCACACCGACCTACGCAACATAGAACCAGCACCACACTTCTCTCTCGGCTGCTGGAGGAGGCTGCTGGGCCGGGTGAGCTGTGGGAAGAAGCTGTGCTGGTGTTCCCATCTTAGATTGGAGACCCTGCTGAGACACAGACCTCCACAAAGAGTCCAACTGTAAATTCCGGGCTGGGGTATGGCTCTGTAGGTAAAGGGCTTGCCACACAAGCCCAAGGAGGGGAATCTGGTCCTCAAAAGTCATGTAGAAAAGGCTGACACAGAGGTGCGCACGAGCACACACACACAGACACACAGACACACACATGTTCCCAGTAGAAATGAGGAGGTAGAAGCAGGTGGATCCTCCAGAGTCCCTGACAGAGAGTTAACTGAATCAGTGAGCCCCAAGCCAGTGAGAGATCCTATTTCAAAAACCTCAAAGTGGACATCACCGAGCAGAAAATCCAAAGCTACGCATGTTCGAACGTGTTTGCCCTCTTGGCTGTGGCATTGCCGTGGCTTTGCTCTCAAAAATATGCTCAGTGTGGTGACCTTTACCTCTGGCACAACGCGGAACCCAGGATGATGTATTTCCTACCTCTCACCAGCCAGAGTTCTCATCTGAAAGGGGATGGTAGCAGCTGTGGTCCCCTCAGAGTACCTCGGGGTATGGTGAGGAGGTGCGAGCCTGCGTGAACAGCCTAGCCCCTGAGGGCTCCACAGGAAGAACTTCATCCTGACCTCCCCTACCTGCCTCCCCTTCTCAGAAGGGAAGCAAACCTTGTGGTTCTAGAGCCTTCCTACTCCCCAGGGTGGCAAACAGGCTCCCTGATCATTGTCCCAGTAGGTGGCATCGAGACGCTAAGAGGATGGAACCGAGCCAAAAGCATCTGAACAATGAGACGTGACTCCACTGCTTGTTTCAGTCATGTACTAGTAAGACCTGGCTTAGAGAGTGTGGCCTTGTGGTGAGAATGGCCCCCATAGGCTCATGTCTGAATACTTGGTCCCCAGATGGCAGAACTGTTTAGGAATGACCAGGAGGTGTTGTCTTGCTGGAGATGTGTCACGGGTGGGCTTTGAGACCTCAAAGATCTCTGGCATTTCCAGTCAGCTCTCTCTGCTTTCTGTTTGCAGACTGAGATGTGGGCTCTCAGCTGCTGCCCCAGGACCATGACTGCCTGCCTGCTGCCGAGCTCCCCACCATGATGGTCGTGGACTCCTAACCCTCTGGACGGCAAACCCCAAATAAACCCCTCCAAGTTGCCTTGGCACGTTGTCACAGCAACAGAAAAGTAGCTAAGACAGGGGGAAGGCCAACGCAGAAGACGCTAAACTGCCTTGATGTTCAGAGCAGCTGAAGACCACCCCAGGCTTTCAAAGTCCAGTCGCTGCTTCCTGATCCACAGATGTGAACAAGCAGGCTTATGTTTTTGCTTCTGCAACTACAAACTGCTTCTGCCACCATGCCTTGGCTGCCATGGTTGGCAGTACCCTTAAATCATAAGCCCAAATAAGCCCTTCCTCCTAAGCTGCTTCTTGTCACTAGCGTACAGGGCAAGTCTAAAACTTCCCTCACCGTGGATTCCTTTACAGCTGCCTCCAGGTGACACAGGACACCCTGGCCTGGCCTCCCTGGAGATTTGCAGCTATCTTCAAGATCTTCAACAGCGGAGTTCCCTTCTGTGCAAATCTGGTACCTCTCAGACACAGTGTTACTCCGCTCCTAGAATGCCAGATACTGTGACAGGGAGCTCTTGCAAAGGGGGCATTTGGAGTTTGAAGCATTCAAAAGGATCTACCTTAAAATGTTCTGAGGTTGGAGAGAAGGACCAGTGGGAGAATGTACATGCCATGCAAGGGTGAGGACCCGAGACCAAATCCTAAAAACCCAGGTGAAAACAAACAGATGGACAAAGAGCCAGTTACGGCTTGATAGAGAAACAAGACCTCTGCAATCCTCGTGCTCTTTGCAGATATGAGGCTGAAACTGAGGAATCTGGGAAACTTGTGAGAAGACACCCTGACTAAACAGAGGAAAACCAACAGAGATGCTTGCCTCAAACAAGGTAGGGGTGAGACTCAACAGCAGAGACTATTCTCTGACCTCCACATGTGTGCCTGCTTACACACACACACATGCACACACACACACACCCGCACGCACACACAGTATATATATACACATACAGTGATGAATAAAAATATAAATAAGTAAAACATTTTAAAATAGCAATACAAGATTTGTTCTCTTTTCCCCACTGAAAAGGAAGACTAGAGGCGCGGTAACGAATAGCTGGTGAGTGACAGCAGCAGAGTGGGATGTTTGGTTTGCTGAAGATGTCTTATTTCCACCCAGGAACCAGGGAAGCCCTTCACCTCCTGCTAGGGAACTCTCGGGCTCCCCCTAGATCGACGTTGGAGGAATACCAGCAGGGAACACAAGTGGGAGCCGTGTGTGCTACTCCCCCTGGTGGCCATCGGTGGTGTGGCGCAGCGGCCAGGACTCCCTCTCTAAGTCAAAGAGGAGAAAAAAATCTTTAAGGCATTGAAGAAACAGGTGTTCCAGAACTGGAAGAACCTATTTCCTGCACCACGTACTATTTTGGGCCACGCAGCACCCCAATTCTGGCAACAGAAGAGCGATTTTAAAAAGCTAATCCCAGGGGCTGGAGAGACGGCTCAGTGGTTAAGAGAATTGCCGGCTCTTCCAAAGGTCCTGAGTTCAATTCCCAGCAACCACATGGTGGCTCACAACTATCTGTAATGCAGTGCCCTCTTCTGGCCTGCAGACATACACACAGACAGAAAACTGTATACATAATAAATAAATAAATATTTTTTTTTTAAAAAAAAGCTAATCCCAGACTCCACAACTATCTGTAATGAGGTCTGGTGCCCTCTTCTGGCCTGCAGACATACACACAGACAGAAAACTATATACATAATAAATAAATATTTTTTTAAAAAAAAAAAAAAGCTAATCCCAGACTCCACAACTATCTGTAATGAGGTCTGGTGCCCTCTTCTGTCCTGCAGACATACACACAGACAGAAAACTGTATACATAATAAATAAATAAATATTTTTTTTAAAAAAAAAGCTAATCCCAGACTCCTTTAAACCACACATTCCAAAAAGCCCAGTATAAGATCTTCAACCCTTGCGATGGCCACCTGCTTTATACTGCTATCATTTAGACCACACCAGGAAATCCTTGGTCTCCAACCCTCTGGCAGTGCTGTGTCTCCCACTGGACACCCTGTACTTGATGGACAGGCAGAGCACCCTGCACCCAAATGCAATGGAAGAACGCCCAACAGGAAACACTGCCCCTGTGAAAGTGTTATACTTCCATATGCACGAGAGGTAAGTTGGATCAAAAGTTAAAACAACTCTGTGAGTTCGAGGCCAACCTGATCTACAAGAGCTAGTCCCAGGACAGGCTCCAAAGCTACAGAAAAACTCTGTCTCAAAACAAAACAAACAAACAAACAAAAGTTAAAACAAGAAAGAACAAAACTGCGTTTTAAATAGCCAAGTAAGCTTCAAATATGAGCAACTCCTCTTTAAATGGAATTGTACAAATTAATAAGAACAGCTAGTATGATCTTAGAGTGGAGACATACAGCATCCTTGAACAATTCTTACAAGACAGCAAGCTTAACCAAGCAGCACAAACAAATGGGCAAAAATGTCTTTTTGTTTGTAAAGAAGAAAATACAAATTAAACATTAACGTTGTGGCTGAGCATGGTAGAGCATGCCTTTAATGCCAGAACTGAAGAAGCTGAGGCAGGAGAATGAAGAGCTTGCAGTCAACCTGGGCTATACAGTGAGACCATGTCTGAAAAGAAAATGTGGAAAAGGTGGGAGGGAGAGAAGAGGCGGGAAAGAAGAGAAAGAAAAAAGTTAAGATTATGGGTGAAATTTAAACTCAATAAGCCATGGGAGCTCCTGCGTGGTGCACACACTATGTAAGCAGATACGACCCTCAGGCAAACGGTGCAGACGAGGCGTGTGGGAAACTCTGCATGGAAATGCAAATGACAGGAATACAAAGCAGGCCCACAAACATCAAGAAGCTGAACCAGAAAGTGCCTTATGGCCGTGGGAAGATGAAGGTTGCAGATGCTCATTCCCTCAGTGATGCTTCAGTCTACTCTGCATCAAATCTGATAACAGCTGGAAAAGAACCAAGCAAAGCCAGAGAACAGAGCCAATGCCTAAAGGCAAGATCACAGGGACTGTGAGGGAGAACCAAACACCACCAGGAAAAAATCTGTCCAATCTAGAAAGCTACCGCACTACCCTGGGCTAGATTTGGCAACTACCACCACAAAAAGGTTTGGAATAAGTCACTGGTAGAAAAAAGAACTCCGGATAGGTACTTCCATGCTGAACTCCACAAAGACAAGAAAAGCAGAACATGGCTCGAGTGTGATGCTGAAGTGGAAAAGTCAATACCATACACAAATAAAACTAAAATGGGTGTGCTTCTTAGATAAATGACTCAAGAAAAGCTAGGACGTTTGCCCAAAGGCGAGTTTTCTGTATGCCGAGACTACAGCATCCCAATGGTATGAAATGCATACCGGTGTTCCAAACAGCAGGAAGGAGGGCCAGCTGTTGACCTGATAATCAAAGCAGCAGACTTGGTTTATATTATAAGATTATTCAGTCTTAAGTGAATTTTTATTATTTTTAAAAGTTTTGTTGTTGCTGCTGCTTCCTGAGACAGAATCTCACTACACAGCTCAGACTAGCCTCAAATGTACACCCCACCCCCCTTATCTTTATCCTGACACGCCCAGGAAACTGGCATTTTTAAAGAAATAAAAAGATCATACAGGCCATATTTCAAAAAAAAAATCACCTGGATCTTAAGACCAAAAAAATGCAAGCCACGTTTCTTATTAGGCTACAACAAATGACAGATTTCACCTTGAAATCTTGGGCTGGGGAGATGACTCAGTGGGTGCAAACATGAGACCCTGAGTTCAAATCTCAGGACCACGCAAAGCTGGGTAGCAGAAACAGCAGAGACAGCAGCGCTCCTGCGGTGAGGGGGGAGACGTGGTATACAATGCAGGGAACAGCAAAAGACAGGCTGTGTTTCAAACAAGATGAAAGGAAAGACCAACACCTGAGGCTGTCCAGGTATCCACTGTGGCATAACCCCACCCAAACCCTCATACGCGAACATACACACACACACACATACACACACACGTACACACATAGACAGATGGATAGATAGATAGATAGATAGATAGATAGATAGATAGATAGATAGATAGATAGATAGA